GGCAGTGGAGGCAGGGGCAAGTGGTAAGGTCTATAGGCTTCTCCTTCCCTCCCACCAAAGCTTGCCTGGCCAAGCAGCCCCTCAGCCCCTCAGTCCCTATACTCCAAATCTTCTTCAGTCACTCTCCTAGAAGAGAACAAAGACTCGAAGCTGCCTTGGGCCTAGCATGGCACTCAGTGTCTTCATACTCCTAGAGCCCCGAGGATTTCACTCAGCTGCTTTGACAAGAGACAATGGTTCCCCACACAGCCACTTTCCTCCAACTGAAGAAAGACCAGTCAAATGAAAGCACATATCAAGACAGGCTCTAGGACCTGCACACTTTCATGGGCTCCAGCTCCTACCCCATGGAGACCATCAGCCCTGGTTACAAGAAGGTGCCAGCCTTTGATCAGTGGCTGCCTCAACCCAATGCCAGCCCCTTTCCTTACCAATCAGATGGCTTCAGAGGCAGGGTGTCCCCTGACCACAGTCAGCATCCGTTGGCCCGTCTGTGAAACCTCCAATCAGAGACAAGCCCTTGGGGACTCATCAGTGCCTGAAGCCAGAAGTGACCTCCTGGTGTTCCTGTTCCCAGGCCAGTGGGGTCCCTGAACTCCCACACAGCTGGCAGCCTCTTAGTCAGAGAGCTGCGTCACCCTGCCTGACACCAGCAGGGGAGGCTGGCAGTGGCCCAGAGGAGCTCATGCCCACGGCTGCAGCAAGCTCAAGACCCTGGCCCAGGGTGGCACCCACCAACTGGAGATGCTGCTGGGCCTGCTAGCTGGATGTGCGACCCTCTCACTATGAGCCCTGTACAGCTCAGGCTGTAAGCAGGTGAGGGCTGGATGCTGGGCTTCCTGGCTGTGGAAGCTGCTTGCCTGCCCAGACCCAGGAGCCAGCCCCTCCCAAACTCTCTGAGGAATCCTCCCTTACTTACATGCATCGCTCAGGGCTTTGTGTCTGGGGACTCAAAGCTGCCAGCTCGCTGCCCCCATGCACCTGCCTCCCACCTTGGTCACAGTCCCAGCTAGCCTACCTGCCAGATGGCAAGCCAGGGAGAACACCTGGGAGAGAAAAGAAGTTCCTGGGGTGGAGCAAGTTTGGAAAGGAAGCCATGCCTTCTTTTCCAGGGCTACCTGGACTTGGCCTCTAAGAGAGGCCTATGGCTGGGGAAGTGAAAGAGGGCAAGAACCCTTGGGTGGCAAATCCTTAGGTCCTTTTCAAGAGACTAGGTACAAAAAAACCCTCTCCATGCACCCCACATCTCTCTCTCCACATGCCCACTTTCTTCTGCTTGGCTTCCCCTGCTGCTAGGAAGCCAACCTGAGACAGAAGAACCAGAATATTGAGTTTCAGCATCGGCATTTGCCAGGGCTGGCAAGGGTTTAGGGGCCAACCCAGTGGGGCAGGTATGACCAGAGGCTTTCTGCTTTCCCCACCTGTCCACACAGCTGGGGAACTGACCCATCTCTCAGTGGGTTGCGTGAGGTGACTTACATGAGATCCCATGCACAAAGGCTGGAACGCATACAGGTACACATATCTGTACAACACCAAGAGGTCACTGCTAGCTGTGTAACATATGTGGCAGTGAGAGTTTACAGGGATGCACACCAAGCTGACCATGGGAGTTAGTTCTATAGTGGAGCTTAACATTATGGAACAAGGGACTTTGTTAGCTACACCTGTAATGTTTGCCTTTTTCAGGAGGATATCATCAAGCAGGACTTTTGTAATTATTTTTTATACACAATGTGCTGGTGCATAATAGATGCACCAGAGAAATTAGTGGTCAGTATTGGCTTACTTCTATGTCCACTTTTCCACAGTGAACATGCCCTAAAGACCAGGCTTGTATGACCAAGGCAAATCCAGCCCTCAATTCAGGAGGCCAGAATTGCTCTCCAGGGACCCTGGTCAGAGGCCATCCTCCAGGCCTTTATTTCTGCTAGGTGCCAGTGATGCAGAAGGCAATGGAAGTTAGTACCTTCGCTTTAGCAGCTCCTGATCCAGCACAGGGACAAACTATGTACCCCTCTAGGGCCAAGCCTAGGCAGCCCAAAGGAAGTTTCACAGAGGAGCAATAAACAACACACTGCAGAAGAATCTCTTCCCCCATACCCAAATATGAATGAGTCCCTCCCCTCCCCTACCAGCCCATGGGGAAGTTCAAGGCTTCTTGGAAAATGGGTTGCGTTAATGCTGGAGAGCTTGGACAAGGCCAGGGCAGCTTGGTAGGGAACTAGCATCAAGGGGTGAGATGAACTGACGGATTTTATCCAGAAGGCTTGGTAGGAGGTGCCAGCCCCTACAATAGGGCCCTTCACAGAACTCTGCAGAAGAGCCTGCTGCCTGTCTCCGAGGTCATCATGGAGGCCAGCATGGGGCAGCTTGAGCTCCTTTTCCCTTCTGGAGGCCTCTGTAGATGAAGCAGGCAGGCAGGGCTAGCAAAAGCCAAACAGTCACACCACAGGGTAAGGTTCTAGGCTAGTGCTCCACCTTACCTCACCTGGCGCAGGAGGCATTTCTCCAGGGGGTTGCCACACTGTTTGTTTGCAACTCAACTAAATTGCTCCCAAGGGTGGAACTTTGTTTCGAAACATATCTTAAGCCAGACTTCTTCTGAAAACATGTCCGTGTCTGCTCACACACACACACGCACACCCATGTCCCAAAGGGTAGGCCTTGCCCCAACATGCAGCAGCCTTCTCTTCCTCTGAGACTTCTGGCATAGACAGCTGGAACAGAAGAGAGTGTCAGCTTTCAGAGAACTACTCAAGGGCAGCCCTCCTGGCATCCTTAAATCCATGTCTCTCCCCTTTGCTTAGCTGGCCTCCTTCCACGTGTTCAAAGGCAGTGGGGACTTTGGGCTTGTGGTTGTTGCCCTTAATAAGTCTCTGCAACTTGGGCCCTGGTCTTTCTTGAGGCTATGGGGAGGGAAGAAGAGGGGTGGCCTTCAACAAGTTTCCCCAGCCTTCCTTTTAGTCCTCAGTTGATTCCTGGGCACCAGGGGCCATTTGGAGGGGGCAGGGAGGCTCCAGGTTCCACCCGGACCTCTTGGCTTTCCCAGCTAGAAGCACTAGTGTCTGGATGTGGCTCTTTCCCCATTCCACAGAGGGCTTTCCTCTGGCTCTCCATTACCCTCTCTACTCTGGGACCACAGAGGGAAGCTCCTAACTGATTCTTCATTAAGTGTTCTTGTCTCCATTTTCAGCAGGGCCCAAGCCCCAGTGGCCACATTCATGGCACTCCCCAGGGCTGACAGAAGGCCTTTGAGAATCAAGAGTAGAAGAACCCCCTCATAGTATGGGGGTCACTGAGTACCAGAGAAGGGTGGGGAAGAGGCAGAGCATGTTCACATCTCCAGGCTCTTTCTTTCCTTCCTTCTTTCCTTCTTTCCTTGTCCCAGTCTCTCTCATCCTCCCTGTCCTCCTACTGTCTCTTTCTCTATCTTTTTGCCTCTGTCTCTTCATCTCTGTCTCTGTCTCTGTCTCTGTCTCTCTCTCACATACACACATACAGACACAGACTTACACACATAATCATGTTTATTTTATATCTATGACTAACATACCCTCCTATCTTTATAGATGGAGAAGCCTTGACAGATTTGGAAGTTCCAGTTAGCCATAAAAGCCAATGAGAACTTTCTGGGTCCTTGCCCCCCAAGAGATACATATTTATTCATTGGCCACAGGGAAAGGGACAACAGCTCTTCCCAAGGCCTCCTGTAGTCCAGCACATCTGCCCTGTGGTCAGGTCCCAAGCAGCAAAACTCCCGTTGGCTCAGCCCAAGTCCCACTGCTCCACCAGCAATCTGCCCTGTTTGATGTTAGCTTCATGGGGCTGTGGACATGGGGGAGTGGGGTTCAAAGTCCCTCCATGTGACCTCCCTTCCAGCCTCCAGAGCTGAGGATGGGCCTTGCTCTCACTCAGTCTATATGAGACAGGCAGAACCCTAGGCTGGAACACAGGAAAATCCATTCTAGATCTAACCCTGTCCCGGTCTTGCTGGATGACCTTGGACCATGTTCTTCCTCTCCAGGACTCAATTTTCTCCTGGGCAAATGGAAAGGTTTCTGGTGCATTCCAGGTTGAGTCCCTGCAATGCCTGGCCCAGACAAGCTGCTGAAGAACAGCTTACCCACAAGCACTGATTGGCATGATAACAACAGGAGGGACTTTGCCAAGCTGTTCCCCTAAAAAGGCTCCCTGCTGGACAGGGGACTTTGGGGAGGAGGGAAGTGAGGGAACCAGGACCCCTGGAGTGGGGCATTAGCCCAGTCCCTGCAACAATGACTTTGTTCAGAGGGGCTGTCCCTACATGAATCCTGGATATAAGAAACTCAACCACCAGGGTTTGCTGCTATCAGTGAACTTTTATTGAGCACATTTTCTGTGTAGAGACCTGGACACAAAGTGGAAGAAAACTGGGAAAGCACAGCCAAGCCCCTGCCACAGAGGATGGAACAGAAGGGACGATGAGGGCACAGAGGCAAGGTTCAGCTCTGGGACAGTCACCATGGAGCCCACGGTGTTACTGTGGAGACGAGATGCCACCCACCTCACCCTCCAAAATGGCTACATTTCAGCCCATGCAGACCTTCAGAATGTTACACTTCTTTTTTTTTTTTTTTTAAAGATTTTATTTATTTATTCGACAGAGAGAGAGATCACAAGTAGGGAGAGAGGCAGGCAGAGAGAGAGAGAGAGGAGGGGAAGCAGGCTTCCTGCTGAGCAGAGAGCCCGATGCGGGGCTTGATCCCAGGACCCTGGGATCATGACCTGAGCCGAAGGCAGAGGCTTAACCCACTGAGCCACCCAGGCACCCCAGAATGTTACACTTCTTTTACCTCCCAGCAGCTAGGGCCTGCTCCAGGCAAGCGGTGTAACCAGAGTTGGAAAATGGCTCCGATGCTGCTAAGGACTGCTGGGAGATAAGAGTAAGATGGGCAAGGGCAGCCCAGGGAGAAAAGGGAAGAAGAGGAAGGAGAAGCAGGCTCAGGCAGCATAAAACATCACTGGCGCATCCACAGCCACAGGTTGGCAATGCAGGCCGACACCAGCATGGTGAAGAACAGAGCATCCCTGTTGCGCCAGGTAGCGCCCTGGTCCTCCAGGGCACGCAGCCGGCCGGTGATCACGTGCAGCTGCAGAGACCAAAGGGGCTAGTGAGAGATCCTCCTGGGGAAGCCCATGGTTTACCACTGGGGAAAGTATGAACTTAGTACAGGAAGAGGATCTGCTGCCCTTCAGGAGGCCAAAGTGCCTCTGGGAGAGAAGAAGACAGAGCAACTGAAACAGGGGGCTAGGGTGGGCCAGTGGAACCAAGGGCCAGGCTGTGTACGTTTGCAGGCCCAGCAGCCTTGCCCCCTTGTTGGTGTTCACCCAGTTGTCTGGAAGAAGCCAGCCTGTCCCAGCTGTATGGGGGGAGAGGCGGAACAAGACATATCAGTTCTGGGGAAGGCTGGCATGGCAGCAGCTGCAGCACCAGAGTCAAGGCAAGGCTCCAGGATAGGTGACACTCAGGGGCTGAGAGGTCCTGTTGTGGTCTCCCCCTGAGAAGACAACACCTCCCCAAGACCTCTTAGTGCCATTCTCTCTGCACAGATTTCTATCCTCTTCTGTTGCCTCTTCATCCTCCTTTTGACTTCCCCTTTTCCCTTTCCACACATCTCAGGGAGAGAGGCAGGGCTGAGACTGTCATTAAGATGGGACACTAGAGCCCCGAAGACTGGGAGGAAAGGAAGGGGAGCCTGACCTCACCTCCACTGTTAAAGGCTAAGATGACTTCAAAGGGGGTGGTCTCATTGTTGCCAAGGCCCACCTGCCCCAAGTCACCATGATTCTGCTTCTACCCTCCCAGTGGGAGATGCTTACCTGTCTTCTCATGACTTCCATCTCCAATCCATTTAGCTCTTCCAAGCCAATCTCTGCCACCATATCTGCCTCTGGGTCACTGGGAAATAAGAAAAGAAAAAGATTTGTGAGTTGCTGGTGGTCCCAGGCCAGGTATGGCAGGGACCAGAGGAAGGCCATGAGGGCAAGCAGACAAGGTCAGGAGTATTTCTAGATAATGACTCTGTCATCCTCAGTCCTTCTCTTTCCAGGTAAGCAGGTCCTGGGGCCTGAGGACTATGAGCTACCCCAGCCCAGCCTCAGTGTGCTCAGAGGCCCCAAATGGGCAAGAGGTCAGGAGGTTCACGGTCTCTTGTGAGGAGACAATAGAGCCCCAACATTCCAAGCATGACCAGATGCTCACAACGCCTTCCTGGTCAGTCTGCTTGCTAGCCCATCTGGTCGACCCTGGTCCCTGCCCAAAGAGCTCCAGCTTTCCTCCTGCAAGATCCCTGGGATCCTTCTTACCGCTCATAATGGAACCTCATGTTCTGGAAGCCACCAGGATACTCCTGAGGGTGAGCATTGCCATGGCCTTGTTCTCTCAACATTCTGGGCAATGGCAGCTGGGGCCCCTAAAGAAAGGAATGGTCAGTAAAAGTAGCCTACTCAGTCTCAGCTGAACAGCTGCCCCACACTGCCCAGGACCAATGCTGTACCCTGTCAGGAGTCACATGGTACCTGATCCTTTGGAATCAGGCGTTGGCAACTTTCAGACCACTAGAAGAGCTTGGAAATCCCACAAGTTGGCCAACTGCCACCACTCCACCCACACCATGCTCCTCAGTAGTTTCTAGTCATCCAAACTATGGGAAAAGAAGAGCAGTGACAGGGATCCCTGTGCTCTGCCATCACTGTCACAAGCAGACATCAGCCAAGTCAGAGAGGAGAGTGGAAAAGCTCAATTTTAAAGTCAAGGAAATTGAGGTCTGGCAAATGACTGCACTTCCCAAAACATACAGTAAATATTGGAGCTCAAGATAGAACCCTGGCCATTGGGAGACCATAACATCCTTCTCTGGGTGAGCACAGCTAACCCAGTGGTTTTCATTTTCATCCATCTGCTAATGACTGCTTGGAGTGGATGTCTCTGCCCCACAGCTCTGGGCCTAAGGTATCTCATACCTTGAAGAGCCAATGTGGGCTAGAGGAACAGAATGTGCCAGACCCACCTGGGTTCAAATCTCAGCTCCAGATTTCCAGGGCAAGATGAAAATTTTCACAGACTATTTGGTTTAACACATGCCACATGCCGCCCTCTGAGCCCTTACCAACATCAAGTCATTAAATCCTCTTCGTGACCATTCAAAACAGGTATTACTATCATCCCATTTTGAAAGATTAGAAAACTGAGAGAGAGGTCACATTATTTGTCCAAGTCACACAGCTGGTAAGTAGCGGAGCAGTCATTTAAAGCCAGGATAATTTGCTCCAGAGGTTGTGCTTTTAACCATTATCCTAGGATGCCTCTCATATTTGACACCACTTCGCCTTCAGACGCCATTAAAATGAAAGTGAAATCAGTAAAATGGTATACAACCTGCAAGAAAAAAGGTAATGGGAGAGGAGAGGCCACAAATGATGAGAGAGCTCAACAAGACTGTGGCATTCAGCGAATGCTGAGAACAAAGCCAGGGAAAGTGGGCCTTGTGGCTCAGAAGCAAATAGCAAGCAGTAGAGGAGGGAGTCCTCCTCCTGCCAGTGTCCAGAGAAGACCCAGACCTGGAGGCTGCAGGGACACTGGGGTGGTCTTGAGGACCCAGTGGGTGGGGGTGGGGGACAGCAGCCTTGGCTGAAGGTCTGTACATGGAACAGTCATCCAACCCTCTTACCCCACCTGGCTGACAGCCTTTTCTCGCCAAATTCAAACTTGAGCTAAATGAATGGAGAAGCAGGGGCAGTTGTACCACAGACCAGAGCCCTCTCCACTCTGGCATTTACCGGTTCCTCCTACACAACCGACTTTGCTGAATTAGAGCCTACTGTCTCACAGGCCTCACCAAGACACAGAATTCTGATTTGTCTCTATTTGCCTCACTTTTAACAAGAAACAGACAACCAAGGCTCACCTGTCACCTGAGAAATATCTGCAGCCCTTCTATGTTCTTCAGAACAATAGTAAATGCAAGGTTGAACCATTTCTGTATAAAGGATTTTTATAGAAACTTTACCACCATGTTCCATTTGTTGTAATAACGCAAAATTTCTTTCTTAAAAGTGCACACCAATATTGGTGTGACATTTTCTATGTGAACAGTACTTGACAGTCATGCTACTATTTTATTTTCTTCTTCATCTTCTTCTTATGATACCTCAAAAATAGGTTGAAAATGACAGTGTGTGTCAAGAAAACCCTAGGACTATGAAGGAAAACCCTAGGACTGTAATAGGAATTTGATTGAGAGTTTCTCCTAGAACGATTTCCACACCATCCCTTTGATTTTCCTACAGATTGGGATCAGAAAGACAAAAAGTTTTTTTGAGATATTTGAGAGCAAATAAGGATGAGTAACTGGTGGCTGGGGTTTGTTTGTTCGAAATAACATAGATTGTTCTTACACATAAATATAACAAGAATTAATGTGACAACATCTGCAAGTCGGTGATAGCCTATTGAATTTGCCCATCATAAGACAGGTCTAACTGTTCAAAACCAGTTGTCTTTTTGCTTTTTTTTTTAAATTTTAGGAACACTTTATTTAGAATTATATGCATTATAAAACATAACGCTTTTATAGCAATTTGACAGAGATCAAGAAAATCTATGAACTTCAGCAAGTCCTAGCTTCCCTCTACTATTTCAGTGTTATTTTTATTTTCATGTACTTTTCAAGGCACACTACTTCCCCCACACCCAAATCAGCAGAACAGTATTATGAATTTTTCTTGTCCTTTAATTTTGTGGTTCTCAGAGGTGGTCATGGTTCCATTTTGGGGGGGGGTGCTCAAAAGTAAATAATAAATAGAACTGATAAATTTCTTAATTTAAATGTAAATAATAAATAGAACTGATAAATTTCTTAATTTAAATGTCTAGTTTCTGAATTCATTATAATGACTGTTTCTTTTTAAAGTAGTCCTGTGGTCCTAATAGGTAATTATGATTAATTCAGAGATAATATCTCCCCATTGCCCCCAAAGATCCCATTCTCCCTCAATCTCATGGGCATGACTGGCTTCCTGGAGCCTGAGCTGTTGGAGTAATTTGACTTGACTTCCACCTTTGGACATAAGAAGCCAATTCAGTATTTTTGGTTTATTTTCATTCCCAGGAGGTCCCTGATCTGGGAGCTCTATTTCTCTTTATTCATTAGCGGTGGAATCATTTGGGCATTTATCATAACTCATTCCCTAGAACAGCCACGCCTCCCTACTCTCCAATCCTGTTGCCTTTCCCCACTAACCTCTGCAACACTATAACACCAGGGTGACAGTAGCTAACAGAATCCACAACAGAACTACCAGATTCAAGTGATTCCCTAGAATAGTAAGGTCATCCTCCTCTCCAAAATGACTGCCTTTTCCCAGTACAGTTTGTAGCAATATGGCTGCCATTTTTTTTTCCCCTAGAACATTCCCTCACTCGAGGTGAATGTAGCTTAAAGGATTATCTACAGAACAATGGGACTCAGGTGATTTCCTAGAACATTGGGTCTCCCTCCCTTTCCAACCTAGTTGCCTTTTCCCAGTAACCTTTGCAACAGTATAACAGCCATTTCTCTAAAACTCCCTCAGGCGTAGTGAAAGTAGCTTTAAAGGATTGGCTACAGAACTTGAAACTCACATTATTTCTTCCAACTTGGTTATCTTTTCCCAGTAACTTTTGCAACAGCATAGCAACCATGTTTCTAAAACTTCCCCTCACCCACCAGTGAATAGATCCTAAGGAATGACTACACAGTGAGAGAACTCAAGTGATTCCCCAGAACACTGAGATCTCCCTCCTCTCCAAAATGGCTGCCTTTTCCCAGTATCCTTTGTAACAGTGTACCTGCCATTTTTTTTTCCTAGAATTTCCTAAACTCATATTAAGTGTAGTTTAAAAGATTGGCTACAGAACACTTAGATTCAATTGATTAGAATTCCTAACAGTCAGGGAGCATAGGAACCTACCTTGCCTTACCTTTGTCCCGGCCCTGAGAAATATATTTTATTTATATATATTTATATTTAATCTATTAGATGAGTCCCATCCACATATCAAGGATTAGGAATGTCCTTTACTTAAAGTCCACAGAGTATAGATGTTAACAAAGCTACAAAATACCTTCATAGCAACACCTAAACTAGAATTTGATGGAATACCTGGGAACTATAGGCTACCCACGTGGACAGGTAAACTTGACCCTCACAGTGGTCTAATCACTGAGGAAGCTGAGGGAAAATCTGAACTTAGACCAGGGACTGTAAGGCTGGCCTGGGGACGGTGGGGCCTCCCCAGTGGCTGTAGGCAGATCACTTCTTTCCTGCCCTTCCATCCTGTGGTTCTCAGGGTTCCTACCAAGGCTGATTATTTAATAATTAAATAATTTATATAATTATAATTTATATAGATAAATATTTATATATAAAATATAGCTATAGAGAGAACTATAGATATAGATTTATTTATTTATTTATTTATTTAGGAAAGTGTCATTTCACACACATTAGAGTTTTGTAAAGTGTATATGTAGTCCCCGAGTAATATGTGATTCAGGTGTTTTGGACTCTTAAGGTTGAACTCCCAGCCTACCAAAAGACAGCTGTGACTTCTTATTGGACATCCCTGCCTTCACTGCCTCACTGGTACACAGGAGCTTCCCTCCTTGCCCCCAAGTCAACATCTGGCTTTGTTCAACCTACCATCATCAGGCTAGAGCCCCTACAGCCTGTATGCCCAACCCCAACCCAGTTGTTGCATGTCGAGGGCTCCATACAGTACCGCTTTCTTGGGCCGGGTGGCAGTCATATTCCAAGCCAGTTGACGTGAACCGGAGCCAGCAGCCTTTGGATCCAACTTTTGTAGCCGCTGAGAGGTACCCAGGGACTGGGATCCACGTGCCATCATTTCTAGGGAGAAGAAGAGAGGCACCAGAAGCACTCATAGAGGCTGTGCCAAGGCTTCCTGGGCACAGGATACACCAGAAAAAGGATAGGATACCCAAACTTCTTAGGAATTATTCAACATTCATTCACTGCTGTCCATTGGCAGATCCCAGGCTTCAGTCTGTTCATCTCTTCAAAAGTTTTGCATCCATACACACACTTTCTCCATCACACATGCACAGGTATAGACACCCAAGGAAAGGGGCATTACAGGGTTCCTCACCTGCTATCACCAGGTGCTCTTGGCTTTGCATATAGCTTTCAGGAACCAGTTCTTCAGCCATGGATGTTTCCATCTCCTCCTTGATGCTAGGGGGGCCTCCTGCCATCACAGCCAATTTTTCACTTTAAAGCTATAGCCAAGGATACACAAGAAACAAGGCCAGAACAGGCACTTGGAAAATCAGCTCTGCGAGGGGTAGGTTCTCAAGCAAGATATATCTGGAGATGGGGGTGGAGCTAGACTCCCTCGCAGGGCTTAGGTCTTGGACCCAGAACCTTATGTTCCTGCTGTATCTTGTTGGCTGGGTCCACAGCCTTCTCCCCTGCTACTCTGTAACCAACTTAGGAGGAAAGATAAGTGTCAGAAACTGCCTGTGAGGACTATGCTGGCTCTCAGGTCACCTGATTTGGCCCTATTGAGGAGCAGGTGGGATCTACCCTCCATCACTTCTAAAGTGAAACAGGTACTGAAAAATAAATAAATAAATAAATAAAATAAAAAGAAGCAGTTACTGGCACAGGACCCCAGAGCCAGTCAGTTGCCAAAATAAGGTTCGATCCCAAGCCTGACGTGGCTTCTGCAAGCCCAGCTCTGGCAAGCAATCCAGGCCATAGCACCCCTTGGAAGGCATCCTTTGCAGAGCACATCCTGTCTCCCCCTATCTGGAGTTCCCAGGCAAGGGAGATGGCCTTTTGATGCCCTGGATCAGCCTGGGCAGGAACCATGAGAACCACAGGTGGGAAGGGCAGGAAAGAAGTGATCTGCCTACAGCCACTGGGGAGGCCCCACCATCCCCAGGCCAGCCTTACGGTCCCTGGTTTAAGTCCAAATTTACCCTCAGCATCCACAGTGATTAGACCACTGTGAGGGTCAAGTTTACCTGTCCACGTGGGTAGCCTATAGTTCCCAGGTATTCCATCAAATTCTAGTTTAGGTGTTGCTATGAAGATATTTTGTAGCTTTGTTACATCTACATTCTGTGGACTTTAAATAAAGAACATTCTTAATCCTTGATATGTGGATGGGACTCATTTAATCAGTTGAAAGGCCTGAAGAGCAAAGCCTGAGGTTTCCTAGAGAAGAAGAAATTCTGCTCAAGACTGCAGCATCAGGAAACAAAACCAAACATACACTACTGGGATTATATCAAAATAAAAAGCTTTGGCACAGTAAAGGAAAGTGAATGGGAAAAGATATGTGCAAATGTTAAAACTGAGAGGGGCCTAAAATCCAAAATATATAAAGAACTGATACAACTCAACACTAGAAAAACAAAAACTCCAATTTAAAAAGGGCAGAGGACCTGAATGGACATTTCTCCAGAGGAGACAGCCAGATGGCCAACAGATACATGAAAAGATGCTCAACATCACTAATCACTAGGGAAATGTAAATCAAAACCACAATGAGATACCACCTCCTACCTGTCAAAGTGGCTAAAATCAACAATACAAGAAATAAGTGTTTGCAAGGATGTGGAGGAAAAGGAGCCCTCGCGCTCGGTAGGCGGGAATGTAATTTGGTGCAGCCACTGTGGAACACAGATTTGAGTTTCCACTAAAAATTATAAATAGAAATACCATATGAAACAATAATTCCACTACTGGAATTACTCAAAGAAAATGAAACAAAACAACAACAACAAAGAAAATGAAAACACTAATTTGAAAAGATATGGTCACCCCTATGTTTATTGCAGCATTATTTATAATAGCCAAGATATACAACCAGCCCAAGTGTCCATCCATAGGAAATATTGGATATTAAATAAGAAAGATGTGACATATACATCTGGAATATTGTGCAGCCATAAAAAATATGAAATCGTGCCATTTGCAACAATGTGGATGGACCTAGTGGGTATTATGCTACTGAAATAAGTCAGAGAAAGACAAATACCATATGATTTCACTCAAAAGTGGAATCTAAAACAAACAAAAAGCAGAATCAGACCTATAAATACAGATGATGGTTTGCAGAGAGGAGGGGGGGCAGGAGGATGGGTGAAATGGGAGAAGGGGAGTGGGAGATACAGACTTCCAGTTCTGGAATGAATAAGTCATGGGAATAAAAGGACAACATGAAAAATATAGTCAGTGATACTAAAATAGCATAATGTATAAACTTGTTGAATCACTATGTTGTGCACCTGAAACTAATGTAACATTGTGTGTCAACTATACTCAAATTAAAAAGAAAAATTTAAAGACCGCAGCATCTATCCCTGCTTAAGCTTCCAGTGTGCAGGCCTGCCCCGCAAATATTGGCCTTGCTAGCCCCACAGTGGCAGGAGCCAATTTCTTAAAGTAAATATCTATACACATACACATAGGCATATGCATACACATACACATACATACATATATCCTGTTGGTTTCTTTTCTTTGGAGAACCCTGACTGATACCACCACCAGAGGTGAAACCTCAGCTCTTGGGAACAACTCCAGAGTCCCTGGAGGAAGAGGAGGCTATTTGCAAAAGGAGCCAAGCACAGCTGGGGCCAGGTGGGAGGAAGAAGAGGAAGCAGGGAAGGAAAAAGGAAGGGAGAAAAGAAAGCGTGAGAGAGAAAGGGAGGGGCTGGAACTTGCCTAGAGAGGGTGGCATGGTCTGGGCTGCCTGGCCCCCTCCCTGGCCCACCTGTCCAGCACTGGGACTAAACACCCTGGAGCAGAGCTGACATAGGCCCTGCCTGCATTCCTGAGGGCCCTGAGGAAGCCCTTCCCAGATCCAGCGGAGCAGCTGCAATGAAATCTGAGCTTTCTGGAAGGCCACCTTAGGAGCAGAGAAGTGTGCTTTTGTGGGACTCAGGAGCCTGGGAAGCACTAACCATGGGCTTCCGCTTGGTCAGGGTTGCCAGACTGAGCAAATACAAATGAATGCCAATTGAATTTGAATTTCAGATAAACAAGTAAGTTTTCAGGGTCAGTACACTCTGTGCAACATTTGAGACAAACTTGCACTAAAAATTTAATCATGGTTTATCTGGTATTCACCTTAGACTATGTATCCTTTATTTTGTATCTGGCAACTCTATGCCCTGCCCATCCTCATCACCATCTCAAGATTTGACCTTGAGCAAGTTTTTCCTTTCTTTGGGCCTCAGTTTCCCCATTGACAATGGAGCTCACAATCCCTTCCTTACCATGTGGCTGGAAAGCCCCCACTGTCTAGTGTGCCAACCTTGGGGGCCCGAAGGCCTAGAGCATCCCTAGAGCACAGAGAACTCTGCCAGGCCTTATGGGGGCCCAGAGAATGGCTCATGCTTAGTGTAGGTATTGGGCTACAGAGAGCTAGGCCCCCATGGAAGTCTCCCAGAGAAGATGGCCAGAAAGCCCAAAGCTCTTTCCACTCCAGAGATTAGACAGATGCCTCTGTAAAGGGGAAGGAGGGGTCCCAAGAACATCTGGCTGAGATGTATGTATACATATACATTTGGGATATGTGCCCATTCTACAGTTTACTTTTTTTTTTTTTTGCAAGTACCTGACACATAGTAGGAAAGCCCTTATTTAAAAATTAAACAGAAAAACACATTAAAATATGTAACCATACATATACACACTTACATGAAAGAAAGGCCAGGTGATTCTTGTCTATCACTTTTTTTTAAGGTTTCATGGTATTTTTTTTCCCAGTTTTACTGAGAAATTTGCAACTTATTTTTTTAAGTGCACAGTGTGCCTTGGGGATCTCACATGTCAGAACAAATCTCCCTCCTGTCCTTTAAACACTGCTTCCCTGCACAGCTGTGCCCCTGTTTATTGACCTGCTTGTGGACATTTTGGGTGTCTAGAGCTTTTTCACTTTTATAAACAAGAAACAGTGAGCATTCCTGGACATGCCTCTTTGCACACATATGTAAATATTTTTGTAGAACAGGTGCCTGTAAGTGGGATTTGTGCAATTCTAGGGTATGTGTGTTGACAATTTTTACTAATACTGACCAATATTATCAGTACCCCTCCTAAGACACTGCACCAAGTGGGACCTCACCAAGGGGAAGAAAGTTCTGTTTTCTTCACAGCCTTATCAACAGAAGATATTATGGAACTTCCTAAAAGGCATCAGTATGTTGGGTAGAAAATGTTATCTATCTCATTGTTGCTTTAATTTTATTGCTTTAATTATGAATAAACCTGAGAAATTTTTCATATGTTTATTGATCTTCTGTATTTCTTTCTTGTGAACTGTCTGCTGGAGGGCTTGGATCTTTATTAAAATAAGAGCTGTTTTATTGACATAAAGGGATGGAGATGAAATCTCTCCCTCCCTTCAAGCTAAGCTTCTCCAAAGAAAACATATCATCTTTTTCCCTAAAGGTGATCATGAGCACATAGCCTCCACTGGGGGACAAACAAATCCAGTTAGTTGCATCCAGGTTTGTGTTGAAATCTAGAGGGCATCCAGACCTCTACAGAGCAGGTGTCTAACTCGGGCTGTTGCCTGCCTATCTGCCTGCCTGTCTGCCCTTGTCTTATGTCTGTCTGTGTCTCTGCCTGCCCCACCACCTGCCTCCACCAATTCCTTCCAACCACTGGCCTCTTCCAGCAGTTCAGCCAGCCGTGCACTTGACTCAGATTTCCGACAAGCATGGGGAATCTGGCAGCCCTGTGTGCTGCCTGCTTCCACCTCCGTTGCAAGCAGGAGCAAAGGATGGCAGGAACCCAGGTCCAGGATCAGTACACCTGGGAGTGACATTGAGGCATCTTAGGCAAGTTGTTTCCCATGTTCTGAGCCTCTATTCCCCATCTTCACATGGAAGGTTGGGCTAAAATCCAGTTTTAAACTATGTTTTATGGTTTCAGGGGTATATGTTGGGGCTACCTGGGCTTCAGGGCAAACTCCAGCCTCGCTTCACAGAGAACAGCTCGCTTTTATTACTTTCTCATATTGATGTTCTATGGATGAGACCATTCAAAGCCAATGCGTACAATGGTCTACCACATCCCAGGTCTGCTCAGAGTCCAGTTTCAAGAAGCTACAGTGCCAAGCCCAAGCGAACAACCCTGATTTGGGCTACAAACCCAGGTCCCAGACATCTGCGAGTTTCCTCCCCACTTGCTAATGAAACTTACAAACCTGTAAACAATTCTCTTTCCTGCTCCTGAAAGCAGCTGGCACTGATGTCATCCCTGGAGC